AGGGTTAGGAGTAGTAGTAGTAGTAGTAGTAGTAGTAGCCAGGAGTAGTAGTAGCAGTAGAAGTAATCTTTTTAGATCATTTTTTGGATTGAATTACATGTTATCATAGCCTAATGTTCAGCGAACTAAATCAGTCAGTCATTTGTATGAGTAATTTTAAATGTAATCTATTATGAAATTAACATAACAGTGTAAAAGTAACTGTAGTTTTACAAATTAAGCATTAGAAGAATAAGGCAGGTTGCGTAAACTGTTAACTTATAGTACTAAGGTAAAGAGATTAAACTGAAGTTAGATTTGAATGTCTGACGTTTGATATAAGTGTTTAAATAATCTTTCAATAATAGTTTGATAGATTAGAGAAGTTCATGAATCCTAGAAAATTCTCATATCCCATTGATTTCATCCGTTGCCTTAGATTATTGACTGATTAGTTAATGTTAAGAGATGATTTAATTAATTATGAGGAAAAAATATGTTTCATTCATCACAACTTTATCTCAGTTAGAGTAAGATTTAAAAAGTGACAAGTCACTGATAGCTATTTCCATCTTTCTATAGAACCTTTTTAGAGGTGCCACACTAACTCAGCAATCAAACTCATCATCCTTACGGTCTCTCATGGAAGCTTAAGCTTTGAAAAACCGACTAAGTTTTACTAATCATTAGAATTAACAGAATGGTTAGCTTGCTAAAAGTCCTCGATAGGAAACGCAAAAACCTAGGGGTATCGTTTTATTGAACACTGATTAGGAATATTTACCTCTAACTAGTGCTTCCCTGGAAGATTCGATCCCAGCGGTGATCTCCAATCATCTAGCCACTCAATATAGTGCACGTGATGTTGTTGGGTTATTAAGATTATTGATCCCATTGCAACTCAACCGATATAATTCATATCAGCATTACAAATGACTACCTAGTATGTGATCAATCAATTATGAATGAACTGATCAGTATGTTTAACTTCTTATAAGGAGAAGAGTGCTTATGGCTTCAAAAAAATTGACCATTCATGTAATTGCATAGAAATATATACTTATTACAATTTAGAAACATCTGTCAGGAGAATAAAGCCATAAAATAAGACAGTTATAATTGTGCTCAATGAATACACAAAACTAAGGTTAGTCATTATAGATAAGATTAGACAAGCGATCCTATGCTATAGTACTTAAAATGCCAAACATCTTGTTGTCAGTTTTGATATTGATGGTCTATCGTTGTTACCACTACTAGTGGATGAAAGTATATATTTTATCCAGTAAAAATTAAACATTTAGAAACACTTGTAATTTTGTTCACTAAAATAAAAAACCTCAGAACATATTCACGACTGGCATCCAAAATATGATCATATTAGGTTTTAGGAAAGACAGAATATATTTCCGTGAGTTTTTAGCGCATCCTTTTTTTCATTGTCCAATATGTTTAAAGTGATCTTTCTCAGTTGTTCAATGTTTGTTTAGCTTCAGTTTAATCTAGGCAACCATCAGGTTGGTGATTCGGGAGCTATGAAAGTTTCCTCTCTTTGTTCTCATGTTTCACTGTGATCCCTCTGATTTTTTTATTTATATCAGATATGGATCGATTTGGTTCTCTGTAGGGATTATCTGGTTAAATCCATGTCGCTTTATGTACACGTTTCTTAAGGAATGTAGTCCAACATATAAACAATTTTGTTGAAGGGCGCATAGATTTCTCCACCGATTTTATCCCTTCTCCCAGTTCGCGGCATCCCATAATACTCTCACATTAACAGTTTTGAATGGTCAGGTCCTTTACTATGCATTTTTCTACGATTGACCGCAACCTTTCATTACATTGATCTTTATCGTCTTTGATGTTATTATTTGATAATCGCATAGCTTTGTAATCACCTCATCTTTTGTTTGGAAAGATGCTCTGATGATTCTTGGTCTATAGGTGCCCTTTGTGACTCTTCGTGTGAACGGTCCATGTACTTATATTAGTTGTCACTCTGGTTATCAGATGAGGTGTTGGCTTAGAGTTTTCTTAAGAAACTCAGTTTTTACCATAATGAGTCATACCCGTTCTAAATGAAAACTCTTCAGCTTCTGACGTAGAGTTTCAATGTTTGACAATGTTTTCCGGTTTTTCGCAAGGTTGTTTCCTATATGATGTGGTTGATAACCCTAGACACAAACGTCCTCTTTTATCTGGGCTTGAGACAGATAGTAACCATAAAAGAACTCCAAGTGGAGTTATATTTTAGGCTCTGGTGCTTGTTGTTTTCATATGGGATGCTCATATGTATTACAGTGTTTTGTTTATAAAACCCATATGTAGACAGCTTCAAATAGTTGAAAGGAAATCTCCCCAGTGCTAAACGAAAACTACTGGCTTTGATCTTAAGTGTAAATATCAATTTCGGGGATGTTGGTACATCCATCTGATGAATCCAGAAAAGGACAAAACAGGTACTCTAAATTCCACTGCTACCCACTGACCAGCTAAGCTTAAAAGTAATTCTGACTTAACAGTAAAAATCAAAGCAAACTAAATTTTGAGATTTGTACGGATTGAGAAAAACGATAAAGTTTAGTGATCTTCCAAAATATGACTACTTCATTAACTAAATACACTGTATTACATCAAGATATTATCGGAGTTTGATGATGAGTAAATAGGAATCATACAAAGATATACTCCGCACCCAGTATTATTAACTTAATTAGAATAATGACCACACAATGAAATTTGTTAGATAGATAGATATTGGTTAGTGTCTATGAGAATTTGATGGATGTGACATTTGGATACCAATCATTTGTTAGTATTTCAGTTTAATATGAGTCCAGATGTGACTCGAATAACTCAACGACCATTTCTCACGTTCGAATCACACGCAAAAAGAGCCTCAATGACACCAAGACTTCAAATATAACATGATGATGAGCGCCTATTGGACTGAAACAGGAAATCTAGAGTTGGCTGCAAACTATCTCCAATCATCCAATATACTTCTAATGTAAATTCAAAATCATTCATACAACGAATCAAAATACACTTGATAACACCATACATACAATGATGAATAATCAAACTACACAGTCTCTAATACATTCATTCTCAATTGTGTACATACGTGTTTGAGTGTCGACGGTTGTGAAAAGTTTCCCACTTCACAATGAAATCACCTTCAGACACTGAGTGCTAGTTTCACACAAAAAGAACTTGTGAATAGAAGAAGATTCCTGCATTGCAGTTGATGTCATGGATGGAATGTTGTTTGTGTTGTGACTGTTGGATATAGACTCGAATTAGGGTAAAGTTGAGATTTGTATGACATGAAGTAGAGGAGAACGGTCAATGTCGAGTGAATGTTCTATTCACCCTCCATAAATCATGACGACGATCCTAGATTTTGTTTTCATTCGACAGTGTGTGAACTGTGAAAGAATGAATTGTCCAGTGATTGAATACAAAATGTCTACTCTGTGTTAGACATGAGAGTGTTATCCTGAATAAATATCACACTGGACTCCAATGTGACTTTAGATTGCTTCCCGATCGAATATGGTTATATTGTGGTGATTGTATTCATTCCTTATTTTTATTTAAGTATTAAACTTTGATGATGCTCTAATTCATTACATTTCATAGGGTATGTGTTGGACGTCATAATTTACTATCCTGCCTACTACTGTATAGGTTTCGCATACACAAGATTCGAAAATGCATATTACATAATGGTCAAACTAATATCATAATTAGAACATGATTGGGTATGTACACATTTACGTGTGCGTGAACACTTCACCTCTACTCCACTTAACCGACATATATCTCCAGTTAGTTCGCCATATTTAGGTTCAGCTTTCGTGCACGAGACCGTAGACCTTGGGTTCGTTTCGTAAAATGACAGATTAAGGATGCATACTAGTTTCTACCAACATGACCACCATACAGTGCTTACATGTTGCTCATTTGTGTGGTTATCTAACTGAGAAGATTAGTTCGTGATTTAAACAATGAAAATCATTTGAATGACACTTTACTAACAGTTTCTGTCATACAAAAATAATGATTATTTATCATATTAGTTTTGTTGTCATTTCATTGAAAACGTTTGTTTTTAATTATTAAAATTGTATTATGAAGATATAAGAAATGATGAAAAAAAAGAAACATGATCATATAAGATTACAATAAAAGATTACTTATACGTGTGCAAATGGAAAATCGGTGAAAAAATTATTAGGTTAAGTGTTAGATTATAATATGAAAAAAAAATCGGATAAAGATTTTGTCATTAAAGATGTCAGAAGGACTTAGAGCAGCTCAATTACACTTGAATTTGATTAGGTTTAATTTTGGTTATTAACTTATTTAAGAGACAATGTCACTTGTACAGCAACAACTTATCTATCTATCTATCTATCCATCTATATATATATATATATATATATATATATATATATATATATATATATATACTATTGTACTTTTATTATAGTCGCATTTGTATGGGTATATATGCTTGAGCATTGCTTACCGCTTACATGTATGTATATTGATCCGACTCGCTTTAATGTTAGCTGCTTAAGTCATTCAATGACACATTCATTTTCCTACACACATTTTAATCGTATTGATTCGCTCGCTCGCTAACTGTTCGGTCATCGCATCTCATTTTCGCTTCGTGTGCCTGTGGTCGGTGTGGAGCGATAACAGACGTCATCAACGCTTCATATTCGTCTTCTAATTTATATACCGTTGGTTATCAGGACGAGCAGTATACGAAATTTAGTAGCATACAAAATATTGACCGCCAATGAATTGGTGAACCCAACTTACGATTGCAACTTAACTTTCTATGATTCGATCGAAATATGAAAATCAACTTAGTCCATCTCAATATGAATTATTATTGTCTTGTTATTACACGTTAATTATTTCACAAACATTGTTTAAACATATTTTGACAACATTAACGACACAAAAACACTTTAGTGGTACGCAATCTAACTCCAGTTTGCGTGAACGGTTGAGCATACAATGAAATAAATCTCTCCTTCCATTTCCGTAAATCATTCTAAGGCGAACCCTGTTTATGCGACGGTGGTAGCAAGAAGCTAAAAATGTGAATGAATTTATTTCATGCAGTCATTTATGCAGACAGACATGAGAATGAAAAGTATATAAGCGAACCGGATTGATTGGAGAAAGCGAGTTAGTCGAATCAATCAATACAATGAAGCATGACTAAGCATTTGTAGTCAGGTGAAAAGAAGCTAGACATGTATTAAGCGAAGTAAACAATGCACACACACCCGCTCGAATAAAAACAACCAAGATATTAACGAATAATAAACAAGGTCAAAAGGCATGTGCATAATAACTCGGAAAGAATGGATTGATTGAATTGTTCAAAGACTCGACATAAAAGTACACACACTACAGATTAAATCAAATGATTTCAAATGTGTAAAAACACAAAACCTCCAAAACTCTGCCCGAATATATAGTAACAGCGCTCACTAGTCACTAGCTTCGTGAGGAAATTCTCGGAGTCCTAGTGGAGAAGACGTGACCAATGGAGTTCAACCCTGTCGGGTGTAGGCAGTAACTACCAAAGACAAATGGGTGAGGTCGCGCAAAATCCCTAGATCAATCAGAGTTAGGCATTAACACCGTTGGATGCCGGCCCAGTGGTCCGATGGTTAGGCGTTCGCGCACAATACCGAAGGTTCTGGGTTCGAATCCTGCGAGGTGCAGGAGTCGTGGATGCGCACTGCCACTGATGAGTCCCATACCAGGACGAAACTGCCGTCTTTCAGTGCTTCTTCCAGGTTTCTAATGGTGGTCTAACAATGATTGATTGATGATTTCAAATGTGTAAAAACACAAATATCCAAAACTGCCTGAAAACCAAGATGTGAACGGATAATAAACAAGGTCAAAAGGCATGTGAATAATAACTCCGGAAGAATGGATTGATTGAATTATCCGAAGACTCGATATAAAAGTACACAAACTACAGATTAAATCAAATGAAATGATGTCAGAAACAGCTGTAAATAATAAAATCATAAAGATGTGAGTAATAATTGACAAGAAATATTCTCAAATGCGAAATCAATAAAACAGTGACATTAAGCGGAGATGGATGGTAGCTGGTAGGAAGATCCAGTAGGCGCATTTCATCCTATTTAGAACTCACCAGCCAGGTGTACATGTACTACAAAGTTGATGTCTACGAGAGAAATGATCTTTTATGGACATTGAAAGCATAGTTCCGTAAATGAATGTTAGTCACTCTTGTTTATAGCCACCAACGATGTTGGTTGTCCTTTAGCGTAGGACGTTTACAAAGTCAACTTCATCGCACGCACGCACACACATAAATATCTGTATTGATACTTTTAGCTAGTAGATTTAAACTTGATTAATTTTCATTCAATATATGTATTATTATTTTTAGAAAATCAGTAGCATAATTTGACTGCTTCATATTTGGTCAATAACATCACTGTGACCTAATTATTTTTCGGATTTATTATACACACAATTATGCTGAATATATATATATATATATATATATATATATATATATATATGTATATATATATATATATATATATATATATATATATATATATATATATATTTGACAAAATAATCAGTCAATAAACAGACAACAATCGATTACACTTTTATCAAAAATATGTTTTTTTTTTGGAGAAAATGTAAAGAAATGCAATTTGACTGACTGACTGACTGATTAGAGAGTTAAAAAAAAGTGGTCAACACTATCGGAAGCGTTAAAAAAGAAACATTTTACGAGAAGTTGATAACTCAATGTCAAATTATGCTTGAGATAAGAAAACTAAGCTGAAACTTGAAATGAAATAGTGACGTAAACAGTTGAAAGTTGATGGTGATAACCGCCAAACTACCTGTCTATAATTACAATAAACTATTGATCAATATTCCAGCATTTATACAAGTTTAATACTTAGAAAAAAGTGTAAGCTCTTTGTAGTAATAGTTTCAAGTGGTAAATTTCGAATTTTTGGTTGGTTGTTAGCTGTTTTGTTAAAAACTCAGAAAAGAATATATCTTTATGCAAGTTAGGGGCGGCCAGACTAAAACATGGCACAAATCCATGAAGTCATTGACAAGTGGACTGAATCATGTTGGTAGATGTAGGCTGCCTGGTTGGGCTCCGCGAGACAAAAGTCACTAATGGTTAGAGACCTTGAACGACATGGTTCAGAATCGTTTGCGATGGCGCAGGTGCATCCACTCCTTGTGTGCTTTTTAATTCTAACCTTCTGAATTCCTCATAATCTCTAACTTTCTGCTTCTAAATTTATCTTGCTGAATTATACTTTTTGAATCATATCTTCGCTCCCTAATCTTCTCCATTGCTACTAAATTCTACTATCGTTATCACTCTTGGATTTGAACTGACAGTTACGTCTCTGTGCTGATGTGGTATAGCAACCTGAACTGATGTACTTATGTACGAAGTTCTGTGCTGTATCTGTCTGTCTGTATATCTTTATGCAATTATCGTCTTCGATGAAATAATTCTTAATGTATTGCTGACAGATGTTCGTGGACTAATTTCGACAGATCGTTGATAAACTAGGCAAATCTACAATTCACATACCACTGATTGTCAAATGGTAGGGCAGACATTCTACATATGACAGATTATTGGTTAAAACTGATTACTCACTATGTCTGTCAAAAGTACAGATTTATAAACAACATCAATAGTGTACGTACACTTTGTTCGGACACCACTTAGTTTTTTAGTCACCTCACACTCAGAGAGCACATTGGCCAGTCATCTAGAAAGTGTGTTTCTCTATCTTGACGGAACTATCACGGGACTCAGTACTAATACGCAGAGTTCTAGTGAAAAGCTAATGACCAGTAGAAAGTTTAAACCTGTCAACATTAAAACAATTATCCAGTAATGAAATTGGCCAATATCTGTGCAACAATCTAAAATGACTGAAGTTAGATATGTAATGACAATTGGATGGCAACTCAGTAGTTCCAAGGCTAAACACTTGCAGTACAATCTAAAAGTACTAGGTCTAACCTCCGGTAGTATCATATATCTACTGTCGCATAGGCCTACATTAAAACAAATTTTCCGTCAAATTGTATAAGTATCTAAAATCAACCTGTGATTTAAATTATAAATATACATAGAAAAGCAATTTTCTTTAGAAAAAAAATTGTAGCAGTTCGAGAACACTCACTGGTCGGCGGCGTATGCCCTATCGGGGGTGACAGTCAGTCAATCAGTTGCGACGTAGAACTTCGTACGTATGTACATAAGTTCATGTTGCCATACCACATTAGCACAGAGATGCAAATGTCAAATCAAATCCCATAGTGATAAAGATAGTAGAGGTATTAATGGTAATGAAGAAGACTAGGGTTTGAAGATATTATTCAAGAAGTATAATTCAGTGAGATAAGTTTAGAAAGACAAAAGTAGAGGTGCTGACGAATCCAGAAGATTAGGATTTGAGAGAACACAAAGAATGGATGCACTTGCGCCATTGCATACAATTTTAAGACATGTCGTTCAGGGTCTCTAACCATTGATGACTTTCGTCTCGCGGACCCCAACCAGGTAGTCTACATCTACCAACATGACTCAGTCCACTTGTCAATGACTTCATGGATTTCTGCCATGTTTCAGTCTGGCCGCCCCTAGCTTTCTTCCAACCTACTCCTACACCACAAAACATAGCTCGTCAAGGCAGTCGGTGGTTAGGCATACGTAACACATGTCTCAACCACCTCAACTGATAAAGTTTCACTACTTCATCTATTGATCTGCCATCCTTACCTAATACTCGTTTCCTAACGATAGCATTGCTTATACGGTTGTCCCACGATATACAAGCGATGCTTCTAAGACATCTATGATCGAATACTAGTAATCGGAGGTGACAGGCGTAAATAAGTAAGTTAGTAAGTAAGTAAGTTAAATAATAGTAATAGTATTCGTATTAATAATGGAATACAATAACAAATAATTCTGATAATATACAAATTAATCACAGACAATGTTGTTTTGTTAATGCTAATTGATTGAATTTAAACAACAATAACACTAATCCATCAATCAATCAATCAATAATAAATAGCCTAAACCCCTGTACATAAAACATCATGTCACTGAAAAGGTGAGAGACCACAGAATCATCATAAAACTACTAATAATAATCAATCTGATCTATTGACGAACAGATAAACGACATAGACGTTGATGTTTTGTCAATTCTAATTCAGTAAAAAATATTTCTGAACAATAATTACATTCAATAAAATTTGTTGGATGTTTACGTAAATAATGTGATTTTAATGTACAATTTTGTGCTGATGAATAATTACATTCACGACAACTAAATGGTCGTTCACCTGTATGTGTACGTACATGTACTGTAAGATGACTTTTTTCCACTGTGGTATATTCACAATAAGGACAACTGTATGGTTTCACTTTAGTATGTTGTATCATGATATGTTTACGTAAATGAACATTTTGACGAAATGATACACCACAATCACGACATATATAACGTCTTAATGGAATGGAATCAGAATAATATTTATTGATAGTATTATTATTATTATTATTACTATTACTGTTATTATCATTATTAGAATAGGTAGTAACATTTGTATGCATTATTGATGGTATTTGAAGGAGAACATTAGCAGTGGATGAGATTATTTTATCATTATAATTATTATTACTAATATTCGATGTAATCAGCATATTTTCACATGGAACCGATGTTGAATTCCTTCTAACATCTAATGTAGGAGGTGAAGGTGTTATAATTGGACTATTATTATTATTATTGATAGTAGTATATATATGAGTAGTATTAACAGGATCAATTTGAGATGATGATGATGACGATGCCGATAAATGATGATCATTTATTTGAGAATTACTATTATTAATCATATTAAGATATGGTTTCATAACTAAATCACGTTTTAAATATAATTCAAAATTTCGACGATATTCATCATCATCATCCTCATCATCAGGAGCAGCAGCAGCCGCGGTGGCAGCGGCACCAGGAGCAACAGCAGTACCATCACCATCATTTTGTTGTGGTTGTATAAATATATCAGATAATAATGGTAATTGTGGAGATAACATTGAATTTAACGGACTTGTATTATTTGTTGTTATCGGTGTAGTTGCATTCAACAACATAGCTAAATCTGCATAATCTGAATAACTAAATTCTGGATCAAAATCAGTTTGTACTTCTTCAGATGATTGACTTACTTTGAATTTTTTCGGTGAACATGGACAACATGTAATTCTAGCTGTATTAGTAGTAGTTGTTTCTTCAATGATAAGATTATGATTTTTTTTATTTGATTCATATTTCACGGTTGGAGGATCACAACATATTGGCAATGATTGTGATTGATTAGATGTACAACAAACAAGTTTACGCATACAACAACTCACAATTGATGCTGAAGCGATACATTTTGATGTATTTTGTGTTAGAATTTCATTGGAACATATTGTTGTAGGTTTACAAATCAGTGGTCTAGCAGTACAACAATAATCATTGACAAATAGATTAGAATTGTCATTGTTATTCGTATGATCACTGTTCATATTACTACTGTTATTAGTATTATTATTAGTAGTAATAGTAGTAGTATTGTTAAAATTATAAGGACATATACCAGTTGACAAAGTATTACAACAAGATGATAAATTAAGATTACAATTATTACCATTTGAACAAGTTGTTATATTGTTTAATTTACTACAATTCACTAGTGATTCACCTATACAACAATTAACATATTTACGTTTTCTATGCGGTATACTATGTTGTTTAATTCCAGTAAGATAAGTTTGTGTTGTGGCATTATGAGTGTTGTTAGGACTACTACTACTACTACTGATATCTGTATAAGTAGTGTTACTGATAGTATTGCTAGTATTGATATTATTATTATTATTATTAGTAGTAGTAGTACTAGTAGTCGTTGTTAAAGTAGTAGTAGTAGTTGTTGTAGTTGTAAGACAAGTAGTATTATCATTATTAGGAGTAAGAATAACAGGACTAATGATTGTATCACAATCAGATATATCCACTTTTTCTGAAAGTAATTTATCAATGGTGTGCATTACACCAGTTTCACATTCATCCACATCATCAGCATTGTCATCCTCCTCCTCCTCCTCGTCATCATCAGCATCATCTTCATCTTCATCATCAATATCTGTATTATGTAATAATTCGTCAACATTGGATGACAAGATTTTTCTTGATTCTTGTTGATGATTTTTTTGAGAGAATTTTTCAATTGTATTAATAAATATTAATTGATGTTCCAATTGTACATGAATTAGAAATGACCATGGTGTAGTGAATTTACGTGAACATTGAACACAGGTTAAGAAACCAGTATTAGTATTTTGTGATTCTAATGTGTTAGTAGTAGTAGTAGTAGTAGTAGTATCGTCATCATCATTACTGTTGTTATTTTTGTTCATAACACTTGAATATGACAATGTCATTGATGGAGAAAGTGAAGGCAATAACGATGTCGATGATGTCGATGATGATGAGGGTGATGACGACGACATAGTGTATTTGTTATTTTCTACATTTAAAGAGTTGAATGGTGATTTCGTGAAACAACAACTTGTTTTCTTATGCTCAATAAACATATTAATATCGGATAGGCGAAAAGTGACAAAACATGTACCACATGATAAATAGTCAACGGTCATTTTTGTTTTTAAATTAACAACAAATCACGCGACTAATATAATATAATCCGACTTCTTCACCAATTGTATGAATAACAGAAGGGAAAAACCAAATTCAGCGTTTGAAATGATCACAGTTGGATGGTTCTATTGTTAAAGATGTGACGAATTATTATGCGGAGTAATTGCTGTTCACACTAAAATATTTTAATAAATAAAAAAATTTGAGATATAAAACATTTTTTTATCAAATTTAACATTTAAGTATTCAATATATATATATATATATATAAACTCTTCAAAAAAAGCTTTAATGTGAAATCGAATAGAAATTTACAAAACGGCGGCTTATGTATGTATATGCGGTATATTTTGCGAAAATGACAAGATTCTATCTAGTCAACTCACAACTCGGACAATCAGAACGATAGATGTAATACCTTTTATGAATCTTCATATAAAATGCCTTGACAAGTAAATATATGTGACCAGATTGTTCGAAATGTATAACCCAAATACATGACAACATTTTTCAGATCAATTATGTCTTCTCACTGTTCTACCAAAATTTATAAAAAGGAATAATTGTTTTAAACTTCAAAAAAAAATAGTTTTACTAACGACCATTTTCAACTTGAATAGGAGGTTGACATAAACTCTTTGTTTCTTGAAGAAATTATGAAAGTTACATACCTAATTTTCAATGAGGAACAGCAACGGAACCGGTTGAGTTAACTCTGAAGATCTTTAATGATGATGGTTCAGCTCTATCAGTTAAACTGACTGATATATTTATTAGCTAGTATTTGAGAAATGGATGTAATCCTATGTCATTGGCTTCGATTGCAGGTTGACTGAAGAATTAATTAGTGTGACTAATATAGTATCTGAAATATGAGCTTAAGTAATCATCAACTGATGCTCAACTAACGTTCATGGACTGCACACCTAGGGTAAACCAAGCTGGTTCCAAAATTCTATGTGAATAGAATTTATTCTTTTGATCGGTTTGAGAAATAATACAAACATGTTTGGAATGTAAATTCTCTTCCTCTAAACGCAAAAGCTTACTTCAATACTAGCATGAGTCAATATGAGATGGTGGAGAAAACTTGTGGCTCAGTTGGATGATTGTGGTGGTGTTTCAATCACTGAGTTGGATGTTTTGGTTGTGAAGCTTTCATTACTCCTCTGAACATCCTCATCAGCACTTCTATCTGAAGTTTGTGCTGATGATGTTGTTCAGAAGAAGAACAATGATGAAAGCTTCACAACCAAAACATCCAACTCAGATGATAGAAGCTGAAATAGCTTGACTTGCCAATCAATTCACTTATTTTGGAAGTCTTACTAGAGCTGCTGATTTGGTATCTAATGGCATTTTGACAAGGATTCCAAAAAACTCAGTTAACTCCAGTTAAATTACGCCATTTTCGGAGGAGTGGATACTGTCTTCTCAATATATATATCACATTTTGATATTCGTCATTACTAACCTAATTTAGTTTATTAATCCTGTTTTAAAAAAAAATAGCTATTTTCCGCATAATTCTTAACGTGATGTCTATAGCGTTGTAACTGTAGCAAAAATATATATTTGAAATCATTAATCAATCATCATTGTTAGACCACCACTATTAGAAACCTGGAAGAAGCACTGGACGGCCGTTTCGTCCTAGTATGGGACTCCTCAGCAGTGCGCATCCACGACTCCTGCTCCTCGCAGGATTCGAACCCGGGACCTTTGGCATTGTAGGCGAATGCCTTACCATCGGACCACTGGGCCGGCATTCAACGGTGTTAATGTCTAACTCTGATTGATCTAGGGATTTTGCGCGACCTCACCCATTTGTCTTTGGTAGTTACTGCCTACACCCGACAGGGTTGAACTCCACTGGTCACGTCTTCTCAACTAGAACTCCGAGAATTTCCTCACGAAGCTAGTCACTAGTGAGCACTGTTACATTATATTGGGGCACAGTTTTGTAGGTTTGCGTTTTTACACATTTGAAATCATTAATCAATCATCATACATATATATATAATTTGTAAAATTTCAGAGGTCAAACACGATAACAGAAAAATGACCTTTAAATGATAACGATCTTTTATTCTGTTGTTTCACTAATTAATAGTACAAAAGTTTATGTTTTTCATTAAAAATAGTTTATTTTGTTATGAGTAATGCAAATAATATACACGAAGCTATCACACAATGAATGATATTCCAACGATATTCCAAAAAAACATGAAAAAGCTTGGAAGAACTTTCTTGTTTACTTTTTGTTACAATGAATACAATAAAGCATTCATATATCATATTGTAATCTCTCTTTGTCATGTGAATAAACTGATCAGATGAAATATGAAAACCAATCATACATAAGTTTCAAAAGCAGAAGGATGAGAGAAGTAGATAAGTCATCTTTTGTTAGTTTATGTGTATTCTGTGCGGATTACCTTGATAATGGCAATTTTTAGCACAAGCTATATTGTGAATGACAGTGGATTCTGCAGTGGGCGTTTCCTTTTGTATGGGACTCATCAGTAGCTAAGTGGATAATGCGTAGGGTATTTGAAGCGAAAAATATCATGTTCGAGTCCCAATGTGAACATCAACACTGAGATGCAGGTATATTCAACTGACAAGTCCCAAATAGAATGAAATGGATAGCTTATATTCCACTACCAACCACAAACCACCTATTCAACATAACAAAAATAGTAAAAAAACTTATAACTTTCTCAAAATAGTTTATAATTTGTCAGCATTTCGTCTTCATAAACAATTCTATTTCATAAATACGTAAACTGATAACACAAAAAAACATTTATTTCACGGAATTCGGAGAATCTACGAGTCATAATGTTTTTTTCAACCAATACAACTAATTCATTTCAATCTTGATTGTTAATACAATCAGTGTTTGCTAAAATTGTGTGCATAGATGATTTTTCCAATTTGGTTCATTGAAAATTATCTGGGAAGTGAAGTGACGATCATAGAACGTAACCGAACACATGCGTTTCATGATTTCATCAATACAGGAGGCTGATAATTATCCTGACCTCGGATTAACCTGTCAGTCAGTCAGTCAGATGCAACGTAGAACTTCAGGTTGCCATACCACATTAGCACAGAGACGCAATTGTCAATTCAAATCCCATAGTGGTAAAGATAGTAGGAGTACTACTGGTAATAGAGAAGATTAGGGTTCGAAGATATGATCTCAGAAGTATAATTCAGTGAGATAAGTTTACAAAGACAAAAGTAGAGGTGTTGATGAATCCAGAAGATTAGGATTTGATAAAACACAAAGAGTGGATACACCTGCGCTATTGTAAACGATTTTGAGCCATATCGTTCAAGGTCTCTAACCATCGGTGACTTTCGTCTCGAGGACTCCAACCAGGTAGCCTACATCTACAACAGAACTCAGTCCACTTGTCAATGACTTCATGGATTTGTGCCATGTTTTGGTTGGGCCGCTCCTAGCTTTCTCCCAACCTACTCCTACACCACAAAACATAGCTCGTCGAGGCCTGTCAGTTTTTATGATATATATTTTTCAACACACGATACACTAAAGATGAGTTATTTTTTTTTAATATGTTAGATTTATAAACTTCCCGGAAGAATTCGTGAATTAGTTTTTGTGAAGGACCTTCCAAATCTCACCAAATGAATTAGTAATTTAATTGTTCGTTATTACTGAACAAATAATCTATACATACAATTAAGATTTATCATATAAATAATAACCATCAGTCATGTACAATTATTAATTTTCTTAAACAGAAAGTTTTTGTACACTTGGTTTATCGTAAACATCTCTGGATAGTTTCATACTAAGCTAAAATGACTGTCCAATACTTCTTGGTTTTTTTAATAAGTGTCTAGTTGAACTCAGTCCATGATTTTTAATCATTTTTAAATTGTATGACTACTATAATCATTTGCTTACTAATGACTAACTTCAGAGGAAATTTCCCAAAGCTCTAGTGGAAACACGTAAACGGTTGGGTTTGTTGAAGGCAGGATTAAGATACAGATATCACCGATCGATGCTGGAGATGTGAATTATACAGACGCGTCTCAGCAATTTTGACATAAGACTTGGAAGTCACTAGGCTTCCATTGTGGGCTAGGGTCGTAAATATAAATTACTGAGGGTTCCCACACTCCACTCCACTAAAACAACTATCACGTGTTGCCTGGTTGTTTCAGTTACAGTAAATCCGGAACCTAAACTAACTAGATAGAATTTATAGAATTCTGATACACAACTAATGGTATAAATAACTATAAGACAAAATATTTTTTTCTGAACGATTGAATGGGCTAATACTTTTTTCAATTGTGCTCTACTGAGTTATTGTTCCATTACAGGATGAAATGTTAAATTCCTAGGAAATTAGTCTGATTAGTAATCACTTGAAACACAGTCCTATGGCAGCTAAGTTGCTTTTATATTATGGTTACTAATGAGACATCACGAGAATAGAGATTCTATAATGAACTTAAAGTAATTCAGTCAGTCAGTTACAACACAGAACTTCGTAAATGAGTACAACAGTTCAGGTTGCCATGCCACATTAGCACAGAGCCGCTATTGTCGATTCAAATCCCATAGTAGTAGAGGTAGTACAAGTATTAGCAGTAATCGGAGAGATTAGGATTCGAAAATATTATTCAAGAATTAGAATCTAGTGAAAGAAACTTAAAAAGAAAGAGATAAAGGTGATGATAAATTTAGAAGAGATTCACCTGTGCCGTTACAAACGGTTTTGAGCCATATCATTCAAGGTCTCTAGTCATCGACTACTATCATCTCGCGGGCCTCCAACCACGTAGTCGACACTTACTGACATGACTCAGTCCACTTGTCAGTGACTTCATGGATTTCTGCCATGTTTTGGTTGCGCCGCCCCTAGCTTTATCCCAACCTACTCCTACACTACAAAACAAAGCTCTTCGAGGCAGTCGGTGGTTAGGCATACGCAGCACCTTAACTGATGAAGTTTCATTACTTCATCTGTTGACCTTCCATCCTTACCTAGCACTCGTTCCCT